CATAAGATTATAAGCTCCTGTCAGGGAAGTTTTGCTAAAATAGGGAAATTGAAGTCTATAATGCTTGAGATCCTATCTAGTACCAACAACTAAATCTAGCTGAAAGCAATTGTCTTAAATGGCTGCAACTGTGTCAATTACAATGGCGGTCAAATAACCGAGAGGATCCATGCTCCCCTTAGTTTATGTTTACAGACTTGTCAAAAGGGTGACGGAAAGCTGGGCATGTAAGAGGTTTTGTCTGAGTGTAGGTAACTTGTTCAGAACTTCCTGAAGATACACTTTCAGCCCGATGCTATGTGTCTATTACCATAAACTATTAAAGCCAAAAGCCTTCTTACAGAATCTTTACCATTTACCTTCTGGCAGGACTACGATTAATCCATTCCAAACATGTAAATATCCCTGTATTTTAAAAAACAAAATGAAACGACAACAACAACATCAAAAAAAACTTCAGGCAAGGAGGCAAGGAGATTTAGCTCCTCATTTCAATGTTTTATAAGACTCCGGAATCTTTTCCTTTACATAACCTAAATCCATCATGTTGCTACTTAGACTGGTTCTGCAGTCGAGCTAGAGAACATCTGGTGACCACATCTGTGTTATATAACACTTCATATGCTCTCAAACTATTATTAGATACAGGATAAATTTCTTACCATGTGTAAGATTTCCCCTAACATTGGACTCCAAATTAATAATTTTTCTTGTCCAAAAATGATGGCATCAATTATTAAAACATGGTGGTGGTTGTGAATGAACAAAATAAGTGTGTCTAAAATGAATGACATGTTGTAATGAATTTTTTAAAAAGCTTTCATGTCTGCTAAATAAAAGTATTTGTACACGGAGGGTCCATTTATCTTCCGTGAAAAGTCTGTTGTGCAACTGAAGGAAGCAGAAAATAAGTTCGAAAGTCTCCTTTGGAAAAACAACAGAGCCATGTGTTTCCATTTCAATGGTATTGAGTTTTGGGGTGATTCAGTTAACTCTGGTCATTTTGAAACACTTGATGAAAATGGTTTCTATTACCATCCTAGGACATCATGCAGAAGAACGAAGAGCAAGTACATGAAACCTTAAAAAATGTACAATGTTTACTACTACGTAAATCAAAGCAAAATGGGACCAAGTTAGTAGTTAGCATTTTACATTTAAAATACAACCTTATACTATAATATTTTTAAACACCCATAGGAGACCTTCTAGTTACAAGGCTATTTAAGGAAGACAGGACGGACAGCACATAGGATGTTAGTAATAAAATAAATCTTAAAGGCAAATTATTCCATTTTGGAAAGTTCCTCAAATGTAGAGTTGTACATGCTTACTGTATAGGGAAGACTTTCCACTGTACATTGGAGTTATTGTTTTGCTGCTTTTTCGCCCTACAAGTTGCTAGGCTCTGCTGCAAAGATTTTAAAGGCTGTTTTGTTGGCAGCCTAGGACGCATCCGTGACCTTACCAAAGTGGAAGTGAAAGCTCTTAGTTTTTCCTTTTTTTTTGCAACAGTAAATCTGCTAATTTTACAGTCAGTTGAACAGCAATAGATTAATTTGTGTAAAGGCTGCATTCACAAAGAAAACCTGAACTTTAGTGGCTTGAATGCCTGAAACTGCAGTGTGATATTTGAAGGGTAGACACTCTCGCAACTTGCTCTAGAGGGATGCAGCAGTCCACTGTCACCTGCTTCTCAGCACAGGTGCTGACCCCTCGGTCGACTCTGGGCCTCCTGACGGGGTAGCAGGAAGGCTGGGCCTTTGTGTGCTACAGAGAACGCTTTTCCAATGACTGGGCCAGTTTTCTCCAGCAGCCACAGGAAACAGAAGAAAGAAGAGGTTAAGGGCCGCCACGAGGGTCAGAGTGGGTTAAATTTAGTTAACATCAGAGGTTATAGCTTTTAACAAGGCTTCAAGAAAACTTATTCGAAGATGCAATTTGTTTCTTCTTTGTCCACTGTTATTTTTTTTTTTTTACCCTATTGATAGTGACAGCTTAACAAAGTTTTTATATGCTAGAGGTTTTCATCCTTTGGAGAATAAAGAACTGTGTTCCTAAAAAGAGATGCAGGTGGAGGACTTTATAAAGCTTCCATGATTTTCAAATTGGGAGCTTTAAAATAGGCTCCCTGCTCGGCTAAGTCAAAAATAATCTGTGAGGGAGATGTTAAAAAAAAATCCCCGTTTGAAATGGAGGAATGCTTCAGCAGTCAGATGCAGAGCCTCAAACTTCTAGAAGATTCTTTGTATTTTTCTCTCAGCCATCCTAGTGTAGTTTTCTCAGTTGTTATTCAAAATTACTAGAGTCCTTCTCTTAAGAAACACACATAGGTGTGTTTCTTTAAATTTAGAGAATAATACTGGACAGAACTAGTTGTTTATTGTATGTATTTAAG